ACCCAGATATTATTCATACATCTTGATGACTAACTGATAAATAGCAGGTTGATTTTGATCTCTTACTGTGCAATGCAACTAAAGAACTGTCAACGTGCTTTGTGAACAATGGTACGTTATATCTGTTTAAATGCCAGGCTTCTTCCAATATATCCTACCGAGTTTACAGCTGGACATTTGCGCAGAACATTCGCGGCAAATCTGGGCGAACTATATCCCCACTTCACAAGTCGAGTATATCCATGAGTTTGATACCGCGATTGCAGAGCTACGATGAACTCAGAGCAAACCACTATGTCCATTCTCATGGTTTTCTATTGATCAAGCAGTGTGCTCAATTGGGTTACTCGTCTTACAGTCAATGTTTCCAGACCAACACCTAGTATGTTTTCGTCGCACCCGCTTGATGCTTGATCCATGACCAAGAACACTGAGATTCATCAGTGCTAGTTGCACCAATACATCAGACCTATGTATTGAGAGTGAGTATCCCTCAATGTGATAATCCAACTGCGGAGACCAAGTCAACCAGCCCACTTGCGTGCTGCACAATCTCTGCAAGTCAGTCGCATGAGCGACTTGATCTGGAACCATAGAATTACAAGTTTCGTATTAACCTCTACGACGTAGTTCCTAAGATCATGGTCAACTGACCAATTAGTCAATTACCGATCGCGCACATGCACACGGCAACTGCTCGCTTGTGGTATGCTACTCGTATCTCTCACGACTCAATGGAAGAGTGCACAATTATCGTGGTACCACTGCATTTTCGCCCCGACAACGAATGCACTGTAGCGTTTGTATCCCGTCAGCCAGACAATGAGCGCCAGCATTGCGTCACTGCTCTCATTCCGCACAACGAGTCGCCCAATGATCACCACCCGGCAACTCTATACTGGCACGGCTGACACGGTGGCAGTGGGATCAGTTACCATGATGATACCGCGCATTCGGAGCAGTCAGAAATCGATGCGACGATTGTTCCACTGTCGCAGTTCCATCACATGGATGTGAGGTGATGCGCACTCCAAACTGCGCACTCCACATTCTGTGTCGCGTCGATTTGCGATGTCCACTTGTGGATAGTGGATGGCAGACTGGAACCCGGAAGGTGGAAATGGCGAGCTGGAGAGTGCACCACCACCAGGCGCACACGTGGGGTATCCTGCATCGGTTGCGAACTCAATGCTAATAAGTTGTTTGTAGTTCTTGTCATGTAGTTGCATTCCAACATGCAACCACAATTTGGGTCACAACTTGACTTGTTGTGAACCTCGCTCGTAGAACCGATAGGGACCGTTTTGAAGCGTATAAATTCTAGCGATGATGGAAATTCGCTTTATCTGAGTTAGTGTGTCGTGTGAAAGTCATGAAGTGCCTGGAAACAGTTGCGTAATGGCGACGTATGTAGTTTGGCGACGAAATCCGTGGTAGACGCGAAATTTATTAGTGACGGCAGATTTGTTTACTATCCGCGGTGCGTTCATCATCTACAGAATTCTCAATAGATCCATGCAACGCCACAGTGGTCACCTGAAGGTCATCTGTCCCGCTCAGCATGGTTTCCGGAGTACACGCTCGTGTGCTTCCAACCCGTTTGTGGCCAGTGAAAGATGGGCTAACTCGTTGAATGGCGGCAGTCTCCTGGACGTCGGATTTGTTGACTTCAGGAAAGCATCGGTTAAACTAGCGTTCTCATGACCAGTGGAGTTCCGCAAGGCACATACCTATTACATTCAACAACGGTCTTCCATCAGAGCTCCTAACGGATTGCTTCCCATATGCTGTCGGCATAAATCTGTGGCTTGGAATGTTCAAACTCGAAGATGCTGACCGACTGCAAGCGAACCTCGACCGGATGCACAGGTGGGTATTAAGGTGGCAATTGCCCATTCATTATGAAAAGCGCTCTGTTCTCCCTATCCGTGCTCCTTGCCATTTGACAGTTGCTCAGAACCGCTGCTTGTGAGGAGGATATTGGTGTACTTGTGTCTCCCGATTTGTGAACAACCCAAAACATTTTGAGGAGGGTAGCGACTGCTAACGGGATGTTCGGTGTCAGAAGGAGATCTTTCCCCGAATGACTCCTGAGGTCTTCAGACTCCTCCTTACTTCCCATGTGCATCCTATTCTCGAATACTTTTCACACCAACGTGTTCTCATGAAGAGGATCCAACAGCGATGGTCCAAATCGATCTCATTGATCCGAGATTTGTGCTGCACCCAGCGAACTCGAACGATGAACATGTTTCACTTGGATTATCGTCGTCCTCCTGATCTGATTTACAACAGACACATTGTGCGTGCGATGATGGGAAACGAAGTGAAGAACTTATTTCAACTCAGTGTTGATAGTTCGACACGGGGTCACTCCTGAAAACTGTTTAAGCCTAGGAGGCTCCCAGTCCATCCAGACATCACCTTGTCCACCCGTGTGGTGACGCACTCAAAAAATTTAGTTGAGCCCGTCGTCAGCGCACAGCGTGAGTAAGCACGTATCGTGTTGCTTCCGTTGCAGTCGTGATGATCCCCAATTAGATGGCGTATTGCAAGGATCCGCGTTATCCCTGCTTTGAAACGGAACTGATGGAGCTGACGCAGCATATTCTGTCCGCTCTCAATCAGTGTTGTTTCCGCTGCAGTCGTGATGGTCCCCAAGGGGACGACGTATCGCAAGGATCCGCGCTATCCCTGCTTGGAAACGGAACTGATGGAGCTGACGCAGCATATCCTGTCCGCTCTCAACCACTCCAATAAACTCCAATGAACCGCGTCAGTGGAAACGCAGTAGCGCAATGGAGATGTCGCGTCTCTGCATGCAACATCCATTCAGAGAATGGAAGCGCGGTTGACTGGCAGAGCTTAGCACTGTGAGACACAGAATTGGACCAGCGCAATAAGACGTTGTATGATTGCAAGCGTGGCACCAATTTAAATCCCTACATAGTAAGGTTGGAAGCGCCTGTGATGTACACATGGTTACAGGATGTTTGTTGTCCATGAATTTGTATTCGAGGTGAACATAGCACAGGCGCTCACACAGCACCCGAATTAGAAGTGTCCCTTTGCAACTGTGCGTGAACATTGGTCGCATGTGTATAACATACACACGGGAGATTGTTCTCAGATTGTTTGCAAGAATCCCGTACCGGTTATTTAAAACAATGAGAACTTGGGCACCGAATTTGCTCAGTTCCTGAGACGGCGAACGTGCACTGCGGTTGTGTCGGCCGGGCGTACATGTGGTAATTCGCGAAACATTTGCTCTTTCCGAATCGACATGCTGAATCGCATTGGCTGGTACTACGTTCAGAATTGGTGATAGAGCCTATGTATGCGCTGTGATATCCCCGTGTGCTGTTTCCTCCTGACACCATAAGCGTGTCTGCATCACCAGGACTTTCGACATCCAAATAAGAAGCAGAATAGGGATGGTATTGTTACCATCCGAATCCTATCAGAATTGACCGTTGGGTCCTGCATAATATTTCCAGATGTCACGCAGATTCTTGTTCCGAATAACATCACGAAGAGTTAGAAGGTAGAATTCCATGGATGAGAAATCAATCTGGCACCTGCGGTACACATGCGTGTCACTACTGCAAGGGGATTACACAAATTGACTCATAATTAGGATGGCGATTCTCCACCAGGTGCAGCGTTCAACGTAGTGATAAATTGATCTCCACTACTGCGAAACAACGAATGGTATGCCCCAGTTGACGCGACCATCGCCTGCCTCGAGTTTTCTGCTCCAGATGCCATCGACATAGAAACGAGGTGCTACAGTTGACCTTATCGAAAGTAGCATTTCCCGCAAAGTTGCATAAAAGGTCCAAAGTTTTGCAAAGAAAGTCCAAAATTTTGCATAGAATGTCAAACATTTTGCAAAGTAGGTCCAACACTTTGCAAAGGAAGTCCATAATGCTGCAAAACCCTGTGCCATTCGTCAGCCGCTCAGAGCCAATCCTCTGACCTTAAGTGTGTTCTCATTGGCCGGATGCCAAGGTTCGGTGCGTTAGTCTGGGGAGGTGAGCGCGCTGCTCGTTGACTGGGTGAGACTTGTAAATGAACCTTGGAGGAATGCACTTCGACGGTGCAACGGGCTTGTATGCGCCCCCCTCACGTCCGAAACAATAGATCACAATTGGTCTGAGAGCAATGAACAGCTGGAACATAAGCGCAAAGTTTTGGACCTTCTTTGCCAAATTTTTAACGTCCTATGCAAAATTTTGGACTTTGTTTGCATAAGTTTGGACCTTTTATGCAACTTTGCGGGAAATACGACTGAGGCATAGACAGTGAATATATGTGAACCCATATTCCTCGTGGTTGCTTGGCTTGCGAAGCTGTGTTCTGAAGCACATGGAACACGTAGCTTGAATGTTTACCCTCAGTTGTCGACATTCGGTGTGATTGCAGTGGATAAGTGCAGGTGGCGACGAATCGGCGATGGGGAAATTAACATAGTCAAGCGAGTATCAACCTGTGGTGTGCATGCAGCCTTTTTGTAGTCCCGATGTCAGTCCGAAGTTTTGTCCCTGATATAGTGCGAGGAGACGTTGCTGTTTCATTTAGTGAAATAGTGCCAACACCCACCATGAAGTGGACCCACTATGCGGGTTACTTGTTAAGCGCAATGTCCCACCATATAGTCTACTTGAGGAATGTAACCATGCGGACTTTTGGCTGTGACTATACCACGTGGAGACAAATGTGCTGTTGGACATGGGGACCGACGTAGCACAATGCGTTAATATGGATGTAGCGTGCGCATTGCATGGAAAAATGCATTTACGCGATGGGAGTGATCTGGATATCATTCAGCTGTGGAAAGTCATGGAGCAGCTATCGAATATGGTGTTCTGTGCGGAATGAATATCATGAATTGCAGGTGGAATAGTTGGATTCGAATTGCCATTAGTTAAGGTATAGTATATAGCATAGGTATAGGATGTGAGATATGTAGTGTGGAATGGCATTTGGTTTTTAAGTAGGGGGACTGGAAGTAGCAAGCCTTGGAGGTGCTTCGAATTAAAAAGAGGGGGGGGAAAAAATATTGGGGGGGGGGGGGGGGGGGAAGGGTTGTGTTTTGGGGGGGGGGGGGGGGGGGGGGGGGGGGGGGGGGGGGGGGGGGGGGGGGGGGGGGGGGTTTGGGGGGGTGGGGGGGGGGGGGTGGGGGGGGTGGGGGGTGGGGGGGGGGGGGTGGGGGGTGGGGGGGGGGGGGGGGGGGGGGGTGGGGGGTGGGGGGGGGGGTGGGGGGGGTGGGGGGTGGGGTGGGGGGGGGGGGGGGTGGGGGGGGGTGGGGGGGGGGGGGGTGGGGGGTGGGGGGGGGTGGGTGGGGGTGGTGGGTGGGGTTGGTGGGGGGGGTGGTGGGGGTGGGTGGGTGGGGGGGGGGGTGGTGGGGGTGGGGGGTGGGGTGGGGGGTGGGGGGGG